CCTTGCCCTTGCCGTTCCAGAACGCGACCCCGCCCCTCCCCCTTCCCGGAGCGCAACCCTCCCCCCTCCCCACCGCCATCCGCGAGGCGTGTGGCGACTGGGTCCGTTGGGGCAGAACCATGGAGGAAAAGCCTCTCAAAGTAAGAACTCTTCCTGGGCCCCTCATCCCCTCAGCCCTCAGACTCATTCAACGTGGGCCCTGGCTGTCCTCTCACGCCCCCACCCTCCAGCTCCCAACAGTCCCAGTCCCCACGTGGCTGCCCCAGCCTGCTCTCCTCCCTCCCCAACTCCCCGCGACCCTGGGCTTTCCTTGTTTTTTTTTTCTTTTTACTTGATTTTATTGGGGTGATATCGGTTAATAAAAGTATATAGGTTTCAGGTGTACAATTCTATAATACAGGATCTGTACGCCTGAAACCTGTATACTTGTATTAAGTCTCCTTCCATCACCATTTGTCCCTCCTATACCCTCTCCTACTGCCTCCGCCCCCTTTCCCGCTGGTAATCACCAGATTGTTGTAGGTGTCTTATGAGTTTTGTTGTTGTTGCTTTTGCTTAATCCTTCACCTTTTCACCCAGCCCTGAGCTCCCCCCCCCGCCCCGCCCCGCCCCAGCTGTCAGTCTGTTCTCTATGAATCTATCTGTATTTTGTTTATTAGTTTATTTTGTTTATTAGATTCCACATATGAATGAAATCATGTGGTGCTTGTCTTTCTCTGACTGGCTTATTTCACTTAGCATAATGCTCTCCAGGTTGATCCATGCTGTGGCTAATGGTAAGATTCCCCGCCCCCTTTTTAACGGCCAAGTAGTATTCCATTGTGTACATGTACCACAGCTTTTCTATCCCCTCATACGTGCTGCTTCCAAACCCTGGCTACTGTGAATAACGCTGCCATGAACATAGGGGTGCATACATTCTTTCAACGTAGTGCTTTGGGTTTATTTGGATATATTCCAAGGAGTGGAATTGCTGGGTCATAAGGTAGCTCCATTTCTAATTTTTGGAGGTAATTCCATAATGTTCTCCACAGTGGCTGCACCAATCTGCATTCCCACCAACAGTGCACGAGGGTTCCCTCCTCTCCACATCCTCACCAACAGGCCAACACTCATTGTTTGTTGATTTCTCGATGATAGCCATTCTGACAGGTGTGCGGGGCTTTCCTTGTTGTATGTGGTCCACAGGCGAGGGCCAAGTCTTTGGTTCCCAGTGACTCAGTCAAGTCCAGCTCCAAGAGTGACATCCGGAATCTGTGGACCAAGGCCACGCTGTCGCAGCCCAAGCTGACTGTGCCGACGAACGTCCATGAGGACTCCGACCAGGAGCTCAGCAGCTCCAGGGGCAAGTCCGGCCAGTGGTACAGACGGAAGACCTACCCTGAGAGAGCCTGGGAGAAACGGGAGGACGGAAAGAAAGGCGACATCACGCAGGGGGAACTCGATGGCCACACCTTGGAGCAGGAGCAGAGCCCCAGCAGCTTCCAGAGAAACCATGTAGAAGGGGTCCAGGATTCCGGGGGTCAGTGTGGCTTCATCCCGCTGTGGGCGCCCACAGGGTAGGGGGCTGGCCAGGACCTCAGTGTCTGTTGGTATAAAATGCGGGGAAGCTGTAGGATCCAAGTTTCTAGAGTTCCCTGAGTGGGGCGCCTGTGCTAATCCTTCATGCTTAATAAACCAGACATTCTTGGAGCGCCCCCTACTGGGAAGGCACCAGACACGCTCCTATGGCCAGGCCACACCAGGCCCCAGAGAGGCGGCCTTGTGTCCTTAGGACCGTGCCTTTTTTAAAAAATATATATTTTATTGATTTTTTACAGAGAGGAAGGGAGAAAGATAGTTAGAAACATTGATGTGAGAGAATCATCGATCAGCTGCCTCCTGCACATCTCCTACTGGGGATGTGCCTGCAACCCAGGTACATGCCCTTGACCGGAATCGAACCTGGGATCTTTCAGTCCGCAGGCCGACTCTCTATCCACTGAGCCAAACCGGTTTCGGCAGGACCGTGCTTTTAATGGAATCACCAGCAGAGTTGAGAGGAAGGAGTTAATTTCTTGTCGGTGGGTTTTCGAGGGTTGAGGAGGTGCCTGTCATTTATTTAGTCATTGGTGACGATTTTTAAGTACCTACTTCATGCTGGTCACTTTTGGGGATCCCCCCCTAGCGCTTCATCAGATCATTGGAACTGATAGCAATATAATGACGGCCACTGATCGAGCTCCTGTGGTGTGCAGGCATTGGGCATCCCTTGTACCAGTATGATCACCTTTACATTTCATCACCTCCATAAGGGGTTATTCTTTTCATATTCCTTCCTTTTTAAATATGTTTTTATTGATTTCAGGGAGAAGGAGGGAGAGGGAAAGTGGGATGGAAACATCAATGATGATTGGCTGCTTCCTGCATGTACACCCCTGAGGATCGAGCCCACAACCCGGGCATGTGCTGCTGGTTCCTGGGTCGACACTCAATGAGCCACAATGACCAGGCTATTCTTTTTTTTTTTTAATTATTCATTTGAAAATATTATTGATTTGAGAGAGACAGAAAGAGAGAGAGAGAGAGAGAGAGAGAGAAATACTGACTTGTTTCATTGGTTGATTCTTGTATGTGCCCTGACCAGGGATTGAACCCACAATCTTGATGTATGGGGATGATGCTCTAACCAACTGAGCTACCCAGCCAGGGCCAGGGGTTATTCTTCTTATCCCATTTTACAGATGAAGAACCTGAAGGTCAGAAAGTTTCAGTCACTGGCTCTAAGTGTCACACAGGCGGGCAGCCAGAACTAGAACCTTGGTGGGTGAGATAATAAAGTCCAGGTCTGGAAACCGCTGTCCCATGCCGTTTCCTGCTACGGTGGCACCTGGAGCTGCTCTCTGAAGGCCACTGTCCCTGCCAGAGGCCAGCCCCTACAGCTCCTCTGTTCCAGAAAGACCCAGCAGCCTGCAGATGACTGATGTCTCTTCCTCTTCTCCCAGAATTGGATTCCTCGGTGTCATCAGTCAATATCTTGAAGCACACGCACCACCGAGCCTACTGGGCGGAGCAGCAGGACAGGGTTAGAGGGCCAGGGAGACTGGGGATTTCAGTGGGGTGGGGGATGGGCAAGTTGGGGTTTACGGATGAAGGGGGTGGGCGGTCCGTAGTGTGGAGGGGCAGGCAGCTTGGTTGGGCGTCCTGGGCTGCAGGTGGGGCATTTCAGCTGTGGGCAGCTGGGGTCCCTTGGACATCAAGCCTCTTGCTGCCTCTTCAGCTGCCACTGCCCCTGATGGAACTCATGGTGAATGAAGCCCTGGAAATCCTCACCAAAGCCCTCCGGAGTGAGTCCCTCCCCCAGCTCCCAGGAGCCCATAGGGGATTTTGCAGGGTTTGAGCCCATGGCAGTGGAATTTCAGGCTGTGACTGCCTTATAAGAGCTCCCGAGGAAGCAAAAAGTTGGGGGACAGGACAAGGGAGACCAGTGGGGAAACCATGGGGCCAATGTGAGGGGCTGGGCTCCAGTGTAAGTGCTGCCCCCCTCTAGCTGACGGCTTTCCTAAGGCGATTTCTCCATCTGCCCAGTGGGGATGAGTCTCTGTGCGGCCTCAGTCCCTTCCCTGATTGGTGTGAAGAGCCTTTGGACAGTAGATGGTTTGGGTAAACCTCCCCTGGTTTGTCCCGTTTATGGAATGAGGGGTAGGGACTGGCTAATGGCTAAGGGTGAGTGCTCCAGAAGGTGTCCAAAAAACTGCCGCTGTCCAAGATCAGGCAGGCAACATTTTCTTTACTCTTGCTCACATCCATCCTCCACCTCCATATCCAGTCCTGCTCCGCATCCCCCACCTATTTGGAGCACAGGACTGGCAACAAAACCGGCAGGGCCCAGCGCCTCGGAGATCCAAAGTCCCCCAAACTGACACAGCCCGGAGCCCTGAGAGCGCCTGTCAACCCAAGCCACCAGTCCTGCCTCCAACCACACAGGTGGCATCTGCTGCCGGACAGGCAACGCCCCTCCGACTGCCCTGAGCGGAGCTCTCTCCTCCAGGCTACCTCTCCGCCTTCGGCGAGGATCACATTCTGACCCAGCAGCTGCAGGGACAAATCGAGGATCTCAAGAAGCAGCGGAACGGGAGGCAACAAGTCCCGGAACCCTGAGAGCACCGCCTCAGGCTCGAGGGACTGCCCACCTCCAGCCCCGGCCCCGGTCCCGGCCCTGCGTGGAGACCTATCCATGTGGAATTTGAACCCTAGAGAAATAAAAGTCTGTGCAAGGTCTGTGAGTCAGTGCGTGGCTGTCTGCGTGAGGCGGACGCACGTGGCCCCGCCTTTCCCCATGACCTTCACTCGGTCACCGCAGTGACCTTGAGCGTTCTCTGTTGGGGCCATATCCGCTCCGCCTTCCCGGGACTCGAGATCCAGGACTTCTTGCATGTGGTAGGTCTGCTGCTCCCATCCCGATTCCGCAGGTTTGAGGGGATGTTGGGCCTGCGGTCCAAGGGCCCCGACGGTGTTATCTGGAGGGGGGGGAGAGGGAAAAAGGGAAAGTGGGCAGCACTTGCCTTCCAAGCTAGGCCCCGCCCCTCATGCATATGCAGATTTACTTCTCCGCTAGTCAGGCCTTCATTTACATGTGTCCGTGGTCTCTCGGGGCGCCTTCGCCCACTCCTCTCGCGCACAGCGCGCCCCGCCTCCTCCGTTTCGTAAAACCGTTCTTGGCCCCACCCCCA